ATCTAAGGGCTAGGAGTAGCCTAAACCTGTTACTCCCTTTACTACATCCCAGACTGTTATTCTATTATTAGGGGCAAGCTCTCCCCTCCCAGTGTCTTATCTTCTTCCCTTCTTGAGTATTCCTCCACTGTCCTGCCTTCCTGTAATATGTATGCCCCTATCTTTCTCCTTAATCCTTCTTTAACTTACATAGACCCTCTGTGACTTTTCTAGTCCCCCCCCTGACGTGAACCTGAGAGCTTGCTCAATCTGTCTGCTGTCTGCACATCCCCTAGCCTTTTTCTCTTCCTCCCCATTTAGACCTATATATTCCTGCTTCCTTCTATCTTTTCCTTTTCCCTGTGACCTTATTGGACATTATCTGCCTCCCAGGAGTTCAGTAAGCTTGGTGTAACCTAAGAGGGTAGGCTGGTGCAGCTGGTTGACTAAAGTCCGACCTAGAGCCTCGGGGACCAACAGTCTCCCAGCAGGCAGTGTCTATTATTCGTTGATTTTCTTTATGACTTGTTTCTGCTCAGTTAAGTCATTTTCTGACCCAGTGTAAGTAGGAGTCAGAGGTGAACTTGGGTTTGGTGTGGTAACTGCTATCTGGAGAGGTCCCCACTGGTTTTAGGGCCACATGTCAATCTTCCTTATTTGCAGCATGGTTTCCCCTTGTCTCATCAGAGAGCTTGGATTAGGGCTATGAGTTCAGCCCATCGGGCTGAAGTTCCCCTACTTAATGACATGGTCCAGAGTTACTATTGCTGCCCCGGCATACCTGCTATCTTCCTGGACATAGTTGCTCTCGTCCGTGAACAATACCTCATCTGATGATGGCAGTGGGTCATCCCTGAGGTCTGGGCGGCCATCTGCAGTGTTGATTGCCTCCAGGCCGTCCTGCAGAGGTTACTCCGGGTCATCATCTGGAGGCAGGCTAGCAGGATTGACGGCCTGGAGTGGCAGTGGCCAGCAATTAAATGATCTCTGGAGGAGATCACGTCCGAGTACGGGGTATGGGTACTCCAGCAGGAACAGAAACAAATGAGTTACAGTATTTTTTCCAAGGTCTATAGTCCTCTTTGAAGTCCAGGGGTAGGTTAGGGCCCCACTGGCTCGGTCAAGACTGAGTCTGCTGCACCAGTGTCTACTAGGAAACTAACTAGTTTATCCCCTATTATTTAGTATTATTCTGGGTTCCAGAGGGCTCAGCTGGAAGGAGCCCTAGCCCTGTCATTTTCCTAAATTAAGGATGGCTTTTTATTTTGTTCTTCTATACCTGACTTTGTCTTTTCTATCCTAATTGGGACCTAGGCCTGTGGTCCTGACTCTTCCTCATATTTCCCTTCCTAGGGTGGCCCTATCCCATGTGCCCTGTTTCTCTTAAGGCTGCTATTACTACCTTTGCTAATTCAGTCAATTGGGCCAATAGGCCTAACAGGAGAACACGGTGAAAAGTGTTCTAAGGAAGCCCTTCCCCGACAGTATTTGGGTCCTACTGTGGGCAGAGGAATGGGAACATTTCCTCTGACCCCCAGGTTTACGAAAGGACACAGGAAAGGGGAGCAATGTCTTAACATTGTTTACATGGGGCAGAGTGTTTTTTAACTCTCTAAGACAATTTCGTATCCATGTCTGGGATCCCTATATTCAGCTCCCCAAAGTTCAGAGAAGCCTGCTGGAAATTAGTTGCCGTCAAACCCGCTGTGGACGAGCAGCCCGGGCTGGCACTTTAATGGTTAAACAGTTTGCCTGTGAGAATATTATTAAGCCTTGCAGAGAGGCATTGAGACCTCATCATAAAGAAGCTAGTACATCCGAACACATCTATATCCATTCAGACATTGGGTCCTTCTATACACAGGGGACACAGCAACTGAGGCTTGAGCGAAGCCTGCCCTGCCGACAAGGCAGGAGAAAGCGGCAAAGAATCATCTTTTTTATTCCTTTATGTCAATGTTTTTATTTTCTATCATTCATAAATCTTAAATCTTTATTATTTTTATAATTTTCTTTTCTCCACCCTTCTCAGGTGGAGACCCAAGTACATTAGAGGTTTCCTTGTATTTATGCTATAGTAATCATAGCTCAGATTTATTTTTTCTATTTATATGTGAGTACATTATCGCACCATGAAAGAAAAAACTTTCTTAGTTAAACTAAAAAGAGCTTGATCTTCAGGCCTCTGGGGCTTAATCATGCTCTTTCTTTAAATAATCCAAGCATGACTTTATAAAATATTTTATATTATATATCCCTTTAAAGTGAGGACTGTTTGCATAACCCACATATAAGAGGCATCTGTGCATCTGCTAAGTGAACAAATAATCACTCTTAGTAGTGTGTATGCTCTTGCATTTGGAGTGTGTTGTCCTCTTATCCATACTCCAGTGAGGAAACAGACTGTGTTAAGCCATCTGCACTGATTTGATTTCCTTTCATAAGGAGAGAACACAAATCTTTGAGGAATTCCAGGTCCTATTGGAATGACTCAAAACTAATTCCAGGTCAAGAAAAAGTTTCTTAAAATTCAAATCCTGGAAAGGTTGTCAAACATATTTGACCAAAAGATTATATAGTATTAGTATTATTATTATTAAATAGTATTCAATTATTTATTCATTTAAAGTGACAATGACAAATGTTAAACATAAACATAGGTCAGTGAAACTTCAGTTCTTATGATTTAAAAAATGGGTCTTTAAGGAATCAAGTACTTGATTAACATAACATAAAACCATTTCAATAATATATATAACTTTTGCTTCCCAGGAAAATATTGGGAAAAAATGTTTTTCCCTTTTAACAGGCTGACAAAGAACCAAATAAATTCTGTATTAATTTATTTTAGATTCATATATCTTATTAAATTTATTATTTATTTTATTTATAATTTCTTTCTAAGATTTCTCTTAACAAATCTTTTAACTTTCATAAACCTTTTTATCCAGTCAGAAATAACCAGTTTTAGAACAATTTTAAAATATATATATATTTATATCTTATATTTTCTTTTATCAAAATCATATAATTTTTTAACCTAATCTGAACTTTTAATTTTTAGAAACGTTGAATATTTTTTCTTTTTTTGACAAGTATAAGTAATTAACATTCTCCTGATTAGCAAATATATTCATATTTTCAATAAACATTTTTTGAATCAATAGATCATAACATATCTAAATTCATCTTCTAGCTTTTCTGTAATAAGAACCCAAAATAGGCAAACTCAGGTTAATTAACATTTTAGTATACCTCAAGGGGGTCCTGAAGGACCGGATCGAGTTTCCTCGGGGGACTGGGAGGAGTTAACTGTCCTTCAGGGCAGGCTGAGGTATTGCTAACAAAACTGTTTTCCTTTCATTTGAACCTCCGGACACTGACATTTCTAATCCAAATATCAATGTATACCTTTGATCAGGGTGGGGAACCCCGTACACAATGGACCGCACAGCAAACAAAAGACTCAAGTCAAGAGACCCTTCAGATGGCCAATCAACTGGGAATGTTGGCCACTCCAACTCACAGAGGGTCCGGAGGACCCCAGGATCGGCTGGTGTTCCGTAGCCTCGGGATCTCCTAGAAAAGTCAGAAAAATTAGCAAGAATGCATTCAAGGGGGGTATACGGGGGCGTTGACGGTCCTTGTCCCATCCTACCGAAAGCAAAACAGTTAGAGCAGCAGAGAACACGGAACACAAATAGACAGACAACCGCGGTCAAGACACAAAATACCAATTTCAGAACAGACACACCCGAAAGTGCCAGATAGAAACCCACCGGTTTCCCAGGTCAGGAGTTGGAGGCCCGACCCTGAGGGGGAAGTGCGGTTAACGCAACAATCCCAGATCGCTCTGGAGCTACCGAAACAGAAAACAGACGGAAGGGGAAATCCCTTACCCAGATCCTCGAGGCCGAAGTCCTAGTCCGAATTAGCAGAATCAAAAGCCAGAACGAATGTAGGTGCAGAGGGCGAGGAGGCAGCCCTCCGCATAGTCTGAGGAGGTCGACCCCACGGAAAAGGGGGACCTCGCGGCTGATCTCGCTGGGGCCTCCAAATGTTGTAACCCAGGAGAGTCATCCTCACTCAGACACCAAGTAATTTTGAATATTAGGAGTTTTATTACCTGTGCAGGGACTGCAGCCAACCTACACAGAGGAGAACTGCAGCCCCGAGCTCAGGGGGAGGGCTGCTTATATAGGGCAGGGGGTCAGGGGTCATTCAAGGTTTAGCAGACAAGCAAGCTGCGTGTACAGAAGCGGAGGCAGTTAGCGATAAGCAGGGGGGAACGGAGGTGGGAGGGAGCTGAGGCGAAAGGGAACTGGGTGAACTGGGTCAGCACACATTTATTTTGCTATTCATTTTATTATCTAAGTTTTAAAAACTAACAAATTCGAGACGGATATCAGCGGTTAGCCAGGTGCAATACATATATGTTGAACAGTTACAGTTTTATGGGGTAAAGGGAGCTTCAGTTTCTCCCTATGAGTTTCTTTACAGAGCATGCAGGACACTCTGGCCTTGGGGCCGTTTCTGTCCTCCCTTTTCCTGAAGGGTGTTGCTTTTCAAATTCCCAGTGAAGGTCAAACTCTGGTTAATTTTTATGGGGCTAAAGCCGTCTATAACATTCCCCGTTGTTCATCTTGTTGTCCCTGAGGTTGTTAATTAGGGCAGCTCAAAGACAAGTTGTTTTTCTTTATTGGATTCTAAGGACAGTGAGCTACAACACCAGACTGAGCTCCTCCTCCGGACATGGGGTCTGGACCGTTCCTGGGGTGATACTTTGATGGACAAAATCATACAGGCCACGTCTTTCAACATCCCCTGTGGAGCCCAGTGTTGATCTCTGGACGTGAAGCCAGACTCACCCGACCTTTGTCCTTGGGGCAAAGACCTGGTCCCCAGGCCCAGCGCAGAAACATAAAGGGGAGCAGGTGTGAGCCGTGCTCTCTGAAGGGGGAGCTGCATGTGCTGCTAGAGCCCTGTCCGAGCCCAGCGAAGCCTGATGCCCCCAGCGCACCATGCCAGCAGCCGGGGACCAGGACCTGAAGGTGTGGCAGAAAGTGTTCGAGGAATTAATTCACGAGGTCAAACCATGGCACCACTGGACCCTGACAGCAGACGAAAGCCTCGCTCCCAACATCCTGCAGCCGGGGTGGACACAGTACCAGCAGTGGGGCTTTGCCAGGTGAGTGGGAATGGGATGGGATGGGATGATTCCAGAAAATTCTTCCTCCTTACTGGGTATACGGGAGATTACAGAGGTAAGGTGCCCATCACTCAAGAAGTTGTAGGTTCAATAAAGATTGTTTTCTTATTACAATGAACGCCAAAACAATAGCCGGAGCGGGCGCTGGTGTGGGCTAATGCCCGGACACAGAGAAATCGGACTCCGAGGGGTGAGGGCAAAGAGCAGAGGGGCCTGGTACGGACGCTTCCTGCATGGGAGGCGGGGGCCCACCACAGAACCCATGAGAGAGGGGCCCTGTGCACGGAGGAGACCCCCTCAGGAGGGCAGGGCCGCCCACAGCCACCCTAACCCCTCTACTCTGAGCTAATGGAATCGTTTTTAATAGGACCCTTAGAAAGCATACAAAGTCTCATCCTCTCTTCCATGGGAAATCAGAGCGCCGTGGGTGGGCGTGGCCCACCTGCACAGAGGATGGCTTGTGACTCTGCCCGGGGCCTGGGGAGGGGGCGTGTTTCCTGCCCACTGCCCCCTAACTGGAAGAAGGTCTGGGAAGAGGAAACAGAGCCTCCTCTCCTGTAACCTGTGGTTTTCCCAGGCCAGGCTGGAACCAGGAGCAGCTGAGCAAAGTCTCAGGTCCTCTGTTTGTTCTGAACTCAGCTGACACAACAGCAGAGCAGCATGACCCAGAGTGGGGGCAGGGACCGCAGGTCAGAAGAGCAGGGCCCAGGCCCCTGTGCACCAGCCAGGTCACCTCTCTCGCAGTGGTCAGAGCTCCTGGGCATCTTCCCTTCATTTCCTCTTCACATTTACCCGGGAGGTGAGGCTGGAGTCAAGATACAGAAGGGAAGCCTCGACCGACTCCATCCCAGCCCCTCTGATCCACCATCCCCGGCTCCAGGTGCCCCTGCATCAAGCCAGGCAAGGCTAGGCTTGTCTGCTGTAACAAATAAGCCCTGGAATGTCAGTGGTTTAACCTAGCACGTGGCCCCAAGGTCAGCGAGGCCCAGAAGGAAAGAGCTGGAAAGTCTTCCAAGGGCTTCAGTTCCAGATCCGGAAGCAGCGGGTCTCACTTCAGCCCATGTCCCATCAGCCAGCTGGTCACATTGCCCCAGCAGCTGTGGGGGTGGGGGGTGCGGGCTAACATGGTGAGCACTGACCGTCCCTGCCATGCAGCAGCCCTCCCAGCCCTCCGCTCTCCGTGATTCCCACCGCGGGCACGTCGTGCGCTTCCCTGCCTTCTCCCCTCTCTCGTCTGTCCTGCCGTGTGTTTGCCCAGCTGTCTTAGCTCAGAATTGCTCTCCTCCCTGCTGGGAAGAAGTGTGGTTCTCTGGTACCCTCTCTGAGGCCAGGGGCGTGAGGAATACGGTGTTTCAGGCCACTTTGAGCAATGAATGGGGGCGATGAAGACAGCGAGACACTGTGCCCTCCCGGTAATCCTGGCGGACTGGGGGGCTTCGGGCAACTGGGAGCAAAGCCATGCTTTTCCTTAGGATACTGGACCTTTTAGGGTCCCTCCCGGACCTGTGGGTCTGTGCCTTAGGGTCTTAATTCTTTGGGGCTTCTCTAAAAATGTAGAAGACCGGGCAGCTTATAAACAACAGAAATGTATTGCTCACGGTTCTGGAGGCTGGAAGTCGCAGATCAGGGTGTCAGCTGGTCAGGTGAGGGCCCTCTTCCGGTCGCAGACTTCTTGTGTCCTCGCGTGGCGGAAAGATCTAGGGAGCTCTGTGGGGTCTCTTTTATAGGGCACTTATGCTATTCATGAGGGCTCCACCCTCGTGACCTAGTCACCTCCCAAAGGCCCCATCTTCTAACACCATTACCTTGGGCATTAGGATTTCATGTGACTTTGAGGTGGACACAGGCATTCAGACTGCAGCACTGATCAACACCCACTTGTATGCACCTGTGGGTTTCGGTGCAGGGTCCCCGGGGCTGATTTGGTGGTTCCCGTCCACTGGTAGCCTTCGGGCCACTTCAGTCTGCATTTGGAGAGGCCTTGGTTCAGAGGCAGAAAACTGAAGTTCTTGTCCTGCCTCTTACACCCACGGAGTCTCTGGGCACAACGAGTCCCCAGTGTGTGCCTCTTCTCTAAAATGATCACATGGGACTGAGAAGGTTCCCAAGATCCCTTTCAGTTCTGACACCTGTGAGTCACAGAACACCTTGGTGGCACAACGGACACAGAAACGAGGGGCCTGGTCATTTCTCCCCACTAATCCGTGATCCCAGTGCCGTCATGCTCTGGAACGTTGGTCCCTCCTTCTTCCCTCTGGCACAGTCCACAGTTTGGTCAAACTGAGGGTCTTGTTTTCCATCCGCACAGGTTCAGCTGTTCCTGGTGCTCTCGCAGTTGGGCCTCTGCCCACGTGCAAATCCTTTTCCACATGCACTGGAGTAAGAGGGAGTCCAAGGGCCAGGTGAAGATGAGGATCTTTGCCCAGAGATGTCAGAAGTGCGTTCAGCCTCCATTTGAGGTTCCCGAATTCACAGAAGAGAACATCTCAAGGACCCTGAACAACCTGGTGTTCCGGATTCTGAAGAAATGCTACAGAGAAGGGTTCAAGTCCATGGAGGAGATCTCTGCAATCAAGGACATCTCTCTTGAAGGGCCACATGACACTCACAACTGTGAGGCGTGTCTGCAGGGCTTCTGTGCTCAGAGCGGGTTAGATCTGGCCAAACCGTCACCAACGTCCCCCTCACTTCCCACAATAAGTATCTATAAGTCTTCTCGTACATGGGTCAGCACCACAGTGGGTGACGTGACAGGGGACACCAGGGTGAAGAAAGAAAAGGTGTCTTCCAACCCCTCGTTTCCTGAGCCCCCCCAGGCCAAGAGTTCCAGAGCAAACACCAACCCCGGGGTAGAGAGGGTGTCTTCCAATCCCTCGTTTCCTGAGCCCCCCCAGGCCAAGAGTTCCAGAGCAAACACCAACCCCGGGGTAGAGAGGGTGTCTTCCAATCCCTCGTTTCCTGAGACCCCCAAGGCCAAGAGTTCCAGAGCAAACACCAACCCCGGGGTAGAGAGGGTGTCTTCCAATCCCTCATTTCCTGAGACCCCCAAGGCCAAGAGTCCCAACCCCGGGGTAGAGAGGGTGTCTTCCAATCCCTCGTCTCCTGAGCCCCCCAAGGCCAAGAGTCCCAACCCCGGGGTAGAGAGGGTGTCTTCCAATCCATCATTTCCTGTGCCCCCCAAGGCCAAGAGTCCCAGAGCAAACACCCACCCCCGGGCAGAGACGGTTTCTTCCAAACCCTGGTTTCCTGAGCCCCCCAAGGCCAAGAGTCCCAACCCCCGGGTAGAGAGGGTGTCTTCCAATCCATCATTTCCTCAGCCCCCCAAGGCCAAGAGTCCCAGAGCAAACACCCACCCCCGGGCAGAGACGGTGTCTTCCAAACCCTGGTTTCCTGAGCTCCCCCGGGCCAAGAGTCCCAGAGCAAACACCAACCCCCGGGCAGAGAGTATAGTCCAGATCTCCTTCCCAGAGGAGGGTTATTTTTCCCACACAGCCCCGAATTGCACACACTGCAATTTAAGTAGGTGCTGCTGCTGCTTTATCATTCTCCTCCTAATCACTGTTGTGGTGGTGATTGTGGTTAAAATCACTGGATGAACCTCAAAAACAAGGAGCTGAGTTTAAAGAGTCAGACACACCAAGTCACGTACCGTATGATCCCACTGCTGTGGATGTGCAGGGCGGGTGAATCCAGACAAGAAGCAGGTTGGTGGCCACCAGGGGCTGGGCAGAGGGGAGGTAGCAGCTACTTAGTCTGTCTGGGGTTTGGGGGGTGGGGGCAGTGACAGGATGTTTGGGAATGAGACACAGGTGGTGGCCGCACAACTTGTGAGCACTAAAAGCCACAGAATTGTCCACTTTAAAATGGTTAGTTTAATGTGAATTTCACCTCATTTTTTCAAGTGCTGAAATCTCATTCATTCTCTGGAGAACTGAGACTGAAGTGTTTCTGGCTCACAGAACCATCTGGAAAGCTCAGGCAACCCTGGGCTCCAAGGCGGTGGCCTACATGGTGGACACACCGCTGAGGGTCCAGGCAGGACCGTCCGCTGAGGTGGGGAGAAAGCTTTCAAGTCCCATGTAATTCTTCTTGATGCTTTCCTACTTCTTGACCTGTGTTTGATAATGTGTGTTACTATATTAGTAGAATGATATAGTGATATACTGTATAAAGAAATAAGTATACTGGAGTATAGGCTCAATATTTCACTGATGGGTTGCTCAATTAAAACCACGCCAGTGTGGCTCAGTGGCTGAGTGTCGACGCACGCACCAAGAGGTCGCCGGTTCAATTCCCGGTCAGGGCACATGCCCAGGTTGTGGGCCTGATCCCCAGTGGGGGGCATGCAGGAGGCGGCCAATCAATATTCTCTCTCATCTATGTTTCTATCTCTCTCTCCCGCTCCCTTCCTCTCTCTCTAAAATCAATAAAGGAAAAAAAAAAAAAAAAAAACCCACGGGGGACCCCTGTTCTGAAGGACCACGTGTGCGCGTGTCTGTGCAAGGATTCTCACGAGGTTTCTGAAGCCGCGCGGCTTTTACAAAGGTTTCCGTTCTGATTCATGAGACTAACTTGAAGACTCTTCACATCTGTTTTTTACCTGGAAATAGGACTCCTTCGGTTTATGTGGCTAAAATTAAAGTGATAGTCCTTTACTGTAAATACGTCCCCCTCACCCGGCCCCTGCCCTCCGCCATTGCTGCCCCTCGGGTCAACACCCCTTGTTCCCACAGGCGCAGGGTGGCCAGGCCCCGCCCAGCCGGCACTGTGGCCACTCCCTGTAGCCATCTCTAGGACTTTCCATTTTTCAGAACTGAAACTCTACACCCATTAAACAGCTTCCCTTTTCTCCCTCCCTTCAGGCCCTGCTAACGACCAATCTACTTTCCCTTTCTATGCATGTGACTACGGTAGAGACCTCATATACTTGACTACACAGTATTTGTCTTCTTGTGTTTGGCTTACTCCACTGAGCATGTGTCCGCAAGGTTCATCTATGTTGCAGCATGTGTCAGAATTTCCTTTCTTTTTAAGGCTGAATAATAGCCACTGTATGTGTGGACCACATTTTGCTTATCCATTTATCCATCGATAGACACTTGGGTTGTTTCCACCTCTTGGCTTATGAGTAGCACCACTATGAACATGGTGTATAAATACCTTGAGACCCAGCGTGCAACTCTTTTTGAATGTATACTCAGAAGTGACATTGCTGAATCCTCTGGTATTTGTATAGTTAATATTTTTAGGAACTACCACACTGTTTTCCATACCAGATTCACCATCTTACAGTCCTTCCAACAGTGCACAAGGGTTCCAATTCTCCACATCCTCACCAACACTTATTTTCTGGATTTATATATGCCATACCAGTGGGTGTGAGGTGATATCTCATTTCTAGAAAATGCAACTTTTATGGTGCAAGTTTCTACTTCAAAGGAAATATCAGAAATAGTATTTGTACATCTCAGCAGAGAGAGAACTATTGGGAACACAACAGAAATGTGTGGATAAATTCTTCGGACTTGCAAGGTATTGTCAAATATTTGAGTAGTCTACATATCTATATTAGGTAAACTGCAGGAACTTCAATGTAATAATGGAACCGAAGAGATACAAGCACATGCCTACGGAACAAGCACGTAGGCCCTGGCCAGGTGGCTCAGTTGGTTAGAGTTGGTTAGATACACCAAGGTTGTGGGTTTGATCTCCAGTCAGGGCACATACAGAAAGCAACCAATAAATGCATAAATAAGTGGAACAACAAATCGATCTCTCTAAAATCAATCAATAGAAATTTAGAAAAAAGAAACAAGCACGTCCAGCAGCCCATAAATAGCTGGACATTAAGTGACCAGTGAGGTGGGAAGACGTGCCAGGTCATTAACATACACATCATGCAAAATTTTCAGACCTCTGTATTTCTGATAAGATGCAGACTCTACTTCAAAATCTTTCTGTATTTTGAATAAATTAATATCTCTCGCCCTGGCTGGTGTGACTCAGTTGGCTGAGCATAGTCCCCTGCACCAAAAGGTCACTAGTTCGGTTCCCAGTCAGGGCCCATGCCCAGGTTTCGGGTTCTGTCCTCAGTCAGGATGCATGAGGAAAGCAGCCAATCGATGTTTCTCTCTCAAACTGATGTTTCTTTCTCTCTCTCTCCCCATTCTGATCTCTCTAAAATCAACAAAAACATATTTTTTTTAAAAAAACAGTATCTCTGCAAGCATTATATTCAATAATAGATTTGTTTGGGGTATTACATAACATGAAATAATTATATATCAATGCAGTACTTTGTTTATATGAACACCAAAACAAGATTTTTGCACAAAAGACTGGTTTTATTGAGATAAAATTGACATAAGTTCTGAACAGTCAGCTTGTATGAAAGTCCCATTTCCTCCCTTTCAGATATATCTTCTATCTGACTATATATAGCATAACCTTGGCATGAAATAAAATTCCAAAATCATTCAAGTAGTACAACTAATAAATTTGAATTACACTGTTAAAGGGTTACAAAGAAAAATACAATTGTTTGAGATCCTAGTACAGTGATTTCTCATTTTCCTATTTTTTTCGTCTCTTCACCTACTTCTCAGAGTTTGTCTTTTGGTCGAAGCTACCCTTGAGTGTGGGTGTAGCGTGCTCTGCCTGCCTTCCATATGCTGAGGATGAATTATTTGGACTTAGGATTAGGCCTATCAAGACAAGATAGCGGGGTGTCCATAGGAACCTTTTTTAAATGCATGCCTCTGGGGACAAACTGATTTTTCAGATAAAATCAAAGTCACTTTATTTTTAGCCCAGATTAACGTCCAAAGAACCCAACTGGGTAGACCCACACTATCCAATATGGTAGCCACCACTGGCTGTTTCCATTTAAATTAAATTTAAATTTTAGTTCTTCAGTCACACCCGTCAATGATCAAGTGCTCATGATGCTGGACACACGGACACAAAAGATGACCGTCACTGCAGGAAGGTCTATTGGACAGTACTGGGCTAGATCACCTGGGAGCAAATTCGTATATAAATCTATGTGAATATGTGCACAATACTGTTTATTTGAGCCCGAGACGGTAGTATAAAGGAAGATAGTTGTGCAATTTCTCCATGATATGATGGGAGAGCCCCGGAGGAACCCCATCTTTGTCGATGTACAGCACAGTCTCATGAGCTCCCTCTGGGCCATGGCATCTGGGCCATGGGCAGAGCTCTCCTGTGGCCCCTCAAGGAAACCTGCCAGGGACTCCTCACCAATGTGGGTCAGTCATCCCAACGACAATATCTGATCACCCTAGAGGGGGTCCCTCAGGGCACTGCTTCTGCTCCCTGCTCTCAGGTGAGTTCCAGGACTCTGAGGTGCCCACTCAGGGCAAGATGACCATCCACACAGGCCATGCAAGGCTTCCCGTGACCACCACGCCCACCCTTCCTCCGCTACGGCTGCCAGCGTGCCACCTGAGCGCCCTGTGCCCAATGCATGGGCTGACATCCCAGCCCTTCTTTCTACCTTCAAGGCCCAGATTATACCTAAGGTCTCTCCTGAGAGCCCACCCTTGCAAAATTTAATTTAAAACATATGGAAATAGCAATTTGTATAAACCCAAGGACAATTATTCTCAGTAAAAGAAATAATGCATTAAAACTCCTTCGAAATCTCAAAAGAAAATAAATGACACGTCCAATACAGATGCTCTTTTCACAACCTCCTTATCCCTTGACTCCTGAAAACAGTATGATCAACTTCAGGATTTGGTCTAAGTTACAATTTTAAAAAATAATACATTCTGAACTATTAAATGTGAATCATTTGGAAACAAGTGTATGCAAATAAATCTTTAAATATCGATGTACAAACCCATTTATCAATTCCTCAGCCCACAGAGAGACGTATTCATACATTTGAAATTTGAAAATCATTTTTCTGAACAATTAGGACTGTGGTTTCTAGACTTCAAGCCATCAGACCTGGATGACCTGACCCACAACATAAAGATTTGCAGCTGCCTGGACAGGGAAATTCTGCAGTCTTCTGATGGATGGTGTCAAAGCTGAAGGCTGAAAGACACTTTGGTGGTATAGCTGGGAACAGATTCTGTAACCAAAGGAAAATATATACTCAACCATTCTCTATTTCATTATGACATGTAACTACATGGTTAGAAGAACAAAGACTAACTTGTGCCTTTTTCCTGTTTATGCATGCTTGTGACAGGAGGGAGGGGCTCGGCTTCCAGGCCGCCTCGGAAACAGCCACTGGGAAAAACGCATCCCACCTTTCCTGTCACCTCCGTGCTGCTCTGTACGTCACCCTGAGGGAAACCAGAACTAAGTGGGCTGACCTACTAATCTGCCATCTGTGTTTTTCCTTTTATGATTTTGATATAGGTATCGCTTGATTTACATAACAGATGACGCCCTGCCAGTGTGGCTCAGTGGACTGAGCGTCATCCCATAGACTGAGAGGCCCTGGTTTGACTCCTGGGCAGGGCACATGCTCGGGTTGTGGGCTCCCTCCCCAGTGGGGGGTGTGCAGGAGGCAGCCAATCCATGTTTCTCACATCAATGTTTCTATCTCTCCCTTCCTCTCTCTCTAAAAAAAAAAAATCAATAAAAATATATTTTTAAAAAATTATATGCCTGGCCGGCGTGGCTCAGTGGACTGGGCATCATCGCAAGGACTGAGAAGTCCCAGTTCTTTCCCAGTCGGGGCACACGCCCAGGTTTCCGGCTCGATCCCCAGGAGGGGGCGTGCAGGAGGCAGCCGATCCATGCTTCTGTCTCACATCAGTGTTTCCATCTCTCTCTAAAAACTCAATAATATTTTCTAAAAAAAATAATATTTTCTTTTAAATTATATGTAAGAGATGACTTTTTCTAATGTTGAATTTAAGTGGATTTTGAAATGGAACTTTGTTGTCCCATTAACCGGGATAGTCTTTTGTCAATGTCATTTAGGTAAAAACTGTGTAAATTAGTAATGCAACCGTCACATTTTAAGTGTATGTTTCTGTCAAATAGTTGATGGTGTATCAAGCATTCAAGCACACTAGGCAAATCAAATATTTTAAGGAAACGTATCTTTTGGGGGGGGAGGGTGGTAAATGGAAAAATAATTTACAAAGTAAACTGCCTGTAACCAATTAACATTTTGTCAACTTGACCTACATCAGTAAATCACTGATTTGTGTTATATGAGTTAATGGAATTTTGTATAGTCACTTAAAATATTTTTAATATGAGCAACCTACCTCTTTCTTTAAGATCTTCAATATAGGCTTTCATAACTTCTTTATCAAAATGTTGGCGATCTTGCTCACTTTCCCTCATTTCGTCACCATCTTGGCACTGGGTATTAGCAATAGGATTGTCCATAAGGTTTACAAATCTATTCAAGAAAACACAAACAGTATTATATTTTCCCCTGTACATTTTTAACTGCAAAATTCCTCCCATCAGAGGTCAACCTTTGTGGTCCTAAATCCCAAATTCTTACTTATTCTTGAAAGTCACAGCTGACCAGGTAAAATTAGCATCCCCAGCGGAGTCCCACTGCGGAACAATCCATCCAGATTATGGGATCAGTCCTAAGGCAGAGACTGTTCAGAGGCCTGATGGGAAAATGATAGCTACCCAGCCACGGACCGGGGGCAGGGGCAGGAGGCCGCAAGGTGGACAGTAACGCTCTCTCTCAGTCAGATCCTTAAAACCACATGATGCCTTACAATGCTTGATATTACTCCCAATTAGAGACATCAGTTCTCTCTCTGTTTTTTTTTTATCCTCACCTGAGGACATTTTTTTTGCATTTATCTTCAGATGGAGTGGGAGGGAGAAAGAGTGGAAGAGAGAGAGAGAGAGAGAAACATCGATGTGAGAGAGACACATCGAGTGGTTGCCACCCACACGACCCCAACCGGGGCCAGGGACAAACTGCAACCGAGGTAGTGCCCTTAGCAGGAACCCAACCCCGGACCGTCTGGTCCGCAGGCCGACGCTCTAACTGCTGAGCCAAACCGGCCAGGGCGTGACATCAGTTCTTAAACAAGACTCCAGCCGCTCCTCACTCCTTACTCGTGTCTGGAGGGGCCTCAACCAGGACCTCTGGTCTACTCACTTTAACGGCGTGGACGAGTCGCAAAGGGCAGTCGGGAGCTCCACCAAGTCATCCCCGCTGACGACTAACAGGGTGAGCTTCTTCAAGTTCAGCAGGGCGTGAGGAAGATAGGTGAGCTTGTTCTTGTACAGGAGAAATGTCTGCAGTTCTTCTAGCCTAAGGAGACGGAAAGGGGCCAGAACACAAGGACTTGGCTTCGGAGCAAAGTACAAATTAATCCTACTGGAAATCCTATCTTCGTTTGTTTTTTATACGTGACCTTTATGGGAAAAACTAACTGCAAACATTAAATAAATCAAGTCACACCAGGTGACACAACTTGTTTTTGTTTCTGTGTGATTTCGTTCTGACTTGATTGCCGTCTGAAGACACAGACACAGCAGCAGCAGCAAATCGCACTGTCTACGGTAGCCTTGGGGCCAAAGACATCAATGTGTCCTTCCAATATGAATGTCTGGCCGCTGGACTGTACGCCCGAAACTAATGCAAAACAATGTTGAATACAAACTGTAATCGAAAAACTTTTTCTAAAATATCAGTCCGTCCTTCCAAGTGTCTGCCTCATTCCAAGGGTGAGCAGGGCATGGGAAAGAAGCCATACTAGAGTTGGAGTGGAAATGAACAAACTTTGGCAAATGTTCCCCTCTGTATATCTTGAAAGCACAGCTATTCCTCTCTCATCACATTTTCTAACTTTAAATTGGGGAGAAACCTGCAGAGAGAAAAGGAAACGAGCCAATTCTGCTCCCACTGTGTTTTACTGTTTTCCATTTTATTCTAACTCAGTGACCGCCCCCTGTCCAGTTCATTCCTTTGCAAAACCTCGACTGATCCCATAAATATTTCACAAAGTTCCACTTGTGTTTCAGACTAATTTCACAATTGAATCTCACAAGCTGAGAAAGCCTCATACATATCAGATGTACCAGGAGCAGGAGATGGCCTTCAGGAGTCGGCCACTCAGCTTCTGTGTCCTGACAGCTTACTTATGCTGCTTTGTAAAGAAGGTGTGGATTCCAGGAGGCCAGAGGTTTTGTTTCATTCACCACTTTAAACCCAGCCCACTCTCTGGGCCTGCCATACTGGAGCCTAATAAGATTGGTCGAATGGCCCTGGCCGGTTTGGCTCAGCAGTTAGAGCGTCAACCTGCGATCCAGAGAGACCCAGGTTCGGTTCCCGCTAAGGGCACGTACCTCAGTTGCAGTTTGTCCCCGGCCCTGGTTGGTCGTGCTGGTGGCAGCCACTCGATGTGTCCCTTTCACATCGATGTTTCTCTCTCTCTCTCTTCCTCTCTCTCCCTCCCACTCTACCTGAACAAAAAAAATGGAAAAATGTCCTCAGGTGAGGATAAAAATAAATAAATAAATAAATAAAAGAAGAAAGATTGGTCGAATGAATGAATGAATCTACATGATTCGGTATAATACTTATTTTTAAACATGAAATAGCTGCAAGGACAGAATTTGAAATACTAAGCATCCCATTTTGTTTGAAAGATTATGTATAAATAAATCAATAAATGAAACTAATAAAAAGTATCCTCACTGATATTCTAAGCATAAAGTGATATGTTTCTATTCCATATGTAATAATTTTACCTTTCTACTTCTGTGGAGTAAAGTTAATGATACCATTCTATTGGTTACCAAAGTAAGTTCACCAAGACAATGAAGATTTGTTCAAATGCACACATACAGGGTGGGCAAAGGGATGTTTACAGTTGTTCATGTGGAATATAATATAATAATTAATAAACAATAATACAAGAATAAACAAGAATACAAGAGTATGTTTTGCATACTCACAACTATAAACCTACTTTTGCTCACCCCTGTGTGTGTGTGTGTGTGTGTGTGTGTATACACACACGTATGATATAGACTAAAAATGGTCTTATTATATAAAGAACCAAACTCATTTCCTGGAATCAGTGAACTCTGGAAAATTCATTGATTTCGAAGAACACTTCTATGTTAAGCAAAATTCATTGATTTCGAAGAACACTTCTATGTTAAGCAAAATTCATTGATTTCGAAGAACACTTCTATGTTGAAGATGTTAATGGGGTTTAAGACATTAGTAACTAATTCATACACCTCACCTTCAGAATGCGAGTAGCTACCTGTCTATATCTTGCGGCAGGTCACTCAGGCTATTGTTGCTGATATCCAACCACTGCAAGCTAGACATCCTCAGGACACAGATCGGGACACTGGAAAACTTGTTTGCTGAGATATCTACGAATGTAACTTGCTTCAAATTACTTAACTAGAAAGGAGCAACAACATATTCTAATTACTTTTGTAAGAGAGGGAATTAAGTTCGACCAATAATTTTTTGATTGATGTCTCTTCCCAAAGGCATTCCTCTGAATATATGCAAAAGAGAGCAAAACAGTATGCATTTTGGGCCACTGTGCTAAATGTTGGGGTGCTAAGATAAGTAGCACATGGCTGGCCTTAAGGAGTTGGGGTGATTTCATAAATAAGCAATGCAAATATTGTAAATGGGCAAGACAGAATTCTTAGGGGTGATGGAAATATCCTAACTCTGGACTGGTGAATTTTATGGTATGTAAATTACATCTCAATAAGGGGGACAGGGGGAGGACAAGAAGGAACAGAAAGGAGGCTGTTGTCCAGATGGCAGACAACACAGGCTTAGACCAGGGTGTTGGTTGAGCAGTTCTGGGCAGTGGTCAGACACTGAACACGCTCTGGAGGGCCTGCGCAACAGGACTGACTGACATGGATATGGGGCATGGGAGCAAGGTCAGAGGTGACTTGGCTTGCTTCCAGCCTGAACATCTGAGAGAAGATTGAGCCATTTTCTAAACTGGGGGAGACCAGGGACTGATACAGTGCAGGGAAGCATGACCCTTGGCAGTGTCCCCTCACCTGGACCACTGTCGGACGTTTCCTGGGGCAAGATGGATGCCGATAGTGGAAGCAGCCACTTCCTCCCACACAGAAGTTTTCAAGAAAGGAGATTAACACCCCTTCTAGGACTGTCATCAGTGGCCAGGGCCTGGTCAGAACCTCACCAGCAACACCATTTTTAGCCTGTTCATTATCAGCAGGATCATCAGATCCTTATCTCTCTTTAGCACAAGAAGCTTGTTGAGTTTTATTTGGCAATTAAAACTGTTCACTTTGCTGGCCTGGCCAGTGTGACTCAGTGGTTGAGCGTGGGCCCATACACCAAGAGGTCACCAGTTCGATTCCTGGTCAGGGCACATGCCCAGGTTGTGGGCCAAATCCCCAGTGGGGGATGTGCAGGAGGCAGCCAATCGATGTTCTCTCTCATTGATGTTTCTATCTCTCTCCCTCTCCCTTCCTCTCTCTCTAAAGTCAATAAAGAAAAAAAAACTGTTCCCTTTTTAATCTGCTCCATTTTATCAGAAAATGATTTAAAATCATTTCTCCAATGAATACAGACCAAAAGAAATTAATAAATATTTTTTAATTAATAGACTTATTAAATCCTATCTGTAGGACTACTTTAGTTACCTATAAGTATATACATTTTTAAAAATTATACCCCCTTTATTTATTTCTAACTGTTTTTAATTTATTTCATTGTGTGGATAAATAAATCGGAGTCAGGCAACATATATTAAATAGGCATTAAATTAAAATATCTTGCATGAAAACAGAATTTTTTGCCTCATTTTCCTTTGATGGCATTTCTGAACTTAAACTCGGGTCCTAGATTAGTGTAAGAACATTTTAAAGATCTTATAGTAGCTGGTAGAGGGTGACTGAAATGTCAGGAGAATGTGGCATAATAAAAATGAATTTCATCTTTTAAAGCTTCTTCCCCGTGTTATGGACCATTCCAAGTCATAAACCAAATAAAAGTAAATCATAGTGCAAAAATGTTTACTTTCTTACTTCAAAGGGGAGCTCCGCTAACTCTAGATTTCCAGAACAATCCAGTTTCTCTAGATTCTCACAGTCCCCCAGTTCTGGAGGGATGCTCTGCAGGCGGTTGAACCTCACGTTGAGCTCCTTCAGGCTCTTCAGACAGCCTGTCACCAGGGGAAAAAAATGAACATCACAGTGTAGGTCCTTTAAGGTCTTTTACGAACAGAAAACAAAACAAAAATGTAAAGCCTTTGTATAAATGATGAGGAAGGCATCAAACACAATTGTTATTTTGTTTTTTAAGTACTTTTTCTTAAATGTCTACTCATCTGTTATCCTGAGATCCTGAGTATTTTGATTCTTAATCAGAGCACTTTTTTTTTCTGACTCTTCACCTGTTTAACCCTCCATGAAAGCGTAGGCGAGGTCACCGCAGGGTCAGCCCCCCCCCCCCCCCCAGCACCGAAGAGGCAAACCACTCTGAGATGACCTGATGAATGAAGTATCAGGCGACGAGTATCAGGCGACGGCTCTGGAGGGCGGCACAGCTCCCAGGAGCAGTGACCAGCCAGGGCCTGTGGGGGGCTCTACTGGGAAGTGAGCTAGGTACCGAAATAAGCACAAAGCTTCATGTCCATGTGAACGATTCTAACAAGTCGATTGTTTATAGACTGATGGAATTCACTTATCTTTGGCTTCATATTTACATTGATTGAATTATGATATCATGCTTCATAAAGAATATGCTTTAAGCCCGGCTGGTGTGGCTCAGTGGTTGAGCATCAACCCATGCACCAAGAGGTCGTTGGTTCGATTCCCAGTCAGGGCACATGCCCAGGTTATGGGCCAAATCCCCAGAGGGGGGCATGCAGGAGACGGCCAATCAATGTTCTCTCTCATTGATGTTTCTATCTCCCTCACCCTCTCCCTTCCTTTCTCTCTAGAATCAATAAAAAAAATTAAAAAAAGGACATGCTTTAAAAAAGAAAATCCCACCCTGGTCGGTTGCTCAGTGGTTAGAACATCGGCCTGCGAACCAATGAGTCACACATTCAATTCCGGCCAAGGGCATGTACCTCGGTTGCTGTTCATCCCCGGCCCTGGTCGGGTGGTGCGGGAGGCAACCAGTCGATGTGGCTCTATCACATCGATGTTTCTCTCTGTCTCTCTCTCCCTCCATCCCGCTCTATCTGATGATAAATAGAAAAATATCCTCAGGTGAGGAATAAAAAAAAGAAAACAAAAATCCCTTTCACAGGCAGGAAGTGAACACACTAAGAATAACAGGCAACCATTGAATTGATGGAGAAACACAGCATCCCAAGTCTGCCTTGACTGAATACACACAGAACCAGTCCCAAACCAGAAACAAGCACAAAAGCATATATAGTCAATATTCCAAAAATCACACCATGCATGCTCAGGATCTGAACACTTTAACATGCTTAACTTAATTTTTAAAATTGGGAAACCAAAATTATTGTTTACTTCTGCCGAGTAGACAGTGAAAATACAAATGTCTTGCCATTTTATAAACGAGAAAGGGAAATATACGAAGACAGTATGTTGGAGGCAGAGCCATTTCTGAGTCAATTTTGTTGGTCTCGCTGTTTGTTAGAAGACAGTGGTCATGCGGAGGGACCAGTGGCCTCACTCCCACCCGCGAGCTTATAGTCAGGTATTGCAGTCAAAGCAGCAGATGGAGAAGGGGCTGATACAAAATAAAGGCTGTTTCTCTTCCGGGGAGGACTGGGGAGCACAGGACTCCTCTGACGATTCCACAGCCACGTGCGGATACAAGGAGAAGTCTGCCACCCGAAAGCAGCCCTCACCCACCACGCTGGCACCCTGACCTCAGACTTCCAGCCTCCAGGGCTGTGAGCGATCGATTCCGTTCATTTTATTTTATTTTATTTTATTTTATTTTATTTTATTTTATTTTATTTTATTTTTTTATCCTCACCCGAGGATATTTTTCCATTTTTTGTACAGATAGAGTAGGAGGGAGAGAAAGGAAGGGAGAGAGAGAGAGAAACATCGACGTGAAGGGACACATCGAGTGGCTGCCACCCGCACGACCAACCAGGGCCGGGGACAAACTGCAACCGAAGTACGTGCCCTTAGCGGGAACCAAACCCGGGTCTCTCTGGACCGCAGGCCGACGCTCTAACCACTGAGCCAAACTGGCCAGGGCTGATTCCGTTCATTTTATAGCCAGCGGTGAGCAAGACTGCTCTTCACTGGGAGGCGTCACCTCTTCCCAGCCTGAGTAGAAAGGTGGCCGAGGCCTTGTAGTCTTGGCACAGCGCCAGAGGCCCAACGAGCCACCCTCTGTCTCACACCAACCCTGGTGATTTTCACATGAGCGTGGCACACACTGGTTCTAGGGCACGCATTGTAGATGGGACTCTGGGCAGCCCCAGACCTTTGCCCCACACCCCGAGAGGAAGGACTGCAGCAACAATCACTGTGGTCTTCAACAACAAAGAGATTGAAAAGTATAACATTTTGATCAAATAGACATAATCAGCTAAACTAAATGTATCAATGGACTAATTTATGGGAACGATATGCTGTATTTTATGTTTACAATAAACGTATCATTGCAAGTACAACTGAAAGAAAATAAAATGTTCCCAAACACAGCATTGCTCACTCATGAAATTTCTAGTTTCTGAGCATCTGGAAAACGTATGTGCTGAGTTACTCAGGTGAGATCATGGCATCATCACCCAAGGGGGACACTGCAGACCAGCAACTCTGGGAACACAGGAAACGGCTCTGCCCGGCAACTTCCTGGAGCGGGGGGAGGGAAGCGGTTCTCACAGCAGCATCACCTGTCCACCAGCTGCCTGCTCACCAGAGGCCTGGCTCTGCTCAGAGACATACCAATTTCAGCCGGAAGGTGGGAGATTTGGTTTTTTGGCAGATCCAGAATTCTCATCGCCTGGAAGAGCTCGATATAGGTCGGAATGGTTTGAATCAGAGTATTGTTGATGTGCCATTCTTTCAGGTGTGTCTGCTCCTTCAAGGAATCTGGGAGCTCCTGCAAGAGAGAAATAACAGCAATCGGCACTAGGTCCTCGGTATGGCCGAGTGGGGTGGTGGCACAAAGCTGAGGAAAACCATGCACTTATTTAAAGAGCCAGAAGCAAGAGAACCTGCTTGAGAGCATTCGACGTGCCGGCCAGCTCTCCGGCCATTTCAGAAAGAAAGCAGAGACGCTGCGGTTACCATGACTCTCACAGTTAAGACACTAGCCCAATTTCAAAACTGCTCTGAAGTCGTAATATTACTCACATCAAATGCCTGGTCAACACAGACAACCAGGCTCACCTACAGCCACAACACGTCTTATTAATTTACAACATGCCAATTTAACACCTAAAAATACAGCCTGTTCATGCATTCATTCGATTGTTTGATTTGGGCCGCACTTCCCTTCCTCTGTAGTTGCTTTTACAAATACTTGATAGCCCGGCTGGTGTGGCTCAGTGCTTGAGCATCGACCCTGCACCAAGCGGTTGCCAGTTCAATTCCCCGTCAGGGCACATGCCCGGATTGTGGACTTGATCCCCAGTGGGGGGCATACAGGAGGCAGCCAGTCGATGTTCTCTCTCATCGATGTTTCTACATCTCTCTCCCTCTCCCTTCCTCTCCCTCTCCAAAAATCAAAAAAAAATTTTAATAAATAAATAAGATCTGGAAACAACCCAAGTGTCCATCAGGAGATGAATGGATTAAAAAGCTGTGGTAGCCCTGGCCAGTTTGGCTCAGCGGTTAGAGCGCCAGCCTGCGGTCCAGAGAGACCTGGGTTCGGTTCCCGCTAAGGGCGTGTACCTCAGTTGCAGTTTGTCCCCGGCCCTGGTTGGGTTGTGCGGGTGGCAACCACTCAATGTGTCCCTTTCACATCGATGTTTCTCTCTCTCTCCCTCCCATTCTATCTAAACAAAAAATGGAAAAATGTCCTTGGGTGAGGATTAAAAAAAAAAAAAAAAGCTGTGGTACATGTACACAATGGAGTACTATGCAGCTGTAAGAAGAATGATCTCTTATCCTTTGAGATGGCATGGAAGGACCTGAAGAGTATTATGCTAAGTGAAACAAGCCAAGCAGAGAAAGAAAAATATCACATGATCTCACTTATTTGTGGAATATAATGAACTAAACAAACTGCTGCACAAAATTAACCCAGAGACATGGAGGTAGGGTACAGACTGACAAGCCTCAGGGGCCGGGGGGGGGGGGTTGTGGGGGAAGAGATAAACCACACAACTTGCATGTATGCATGACCAATGAACATAGACAACGCTGGGGATGGGGCAGAGTGGAAGGGGAGGAGGGTGTTAATGGGGAGAAAATGAGAAACATCCGTAACAAAAACAAATTAATAAATAAAAAATTAAAAATAAATAAATAAAAATACTTGATAAACACCTAACATTTACTGGATCAAATTTCTAAATGTTTTTATGAGTCTACAGACGGGAAAGAGCAACAGAAGGCAGTGAGGGTTCCAGGCTAGGCTCCACAGTTGTCCAGGTGAGCCACCTCCCTCGGAAGTGACAGAGAGGAACATTCAGGGGTTTCCAAGGCCTCCCCTCGCTCAAGTGTTCTGGGACGAACCAGTCAGGGTGTGGAGAAGTGCTTAGACTCGAGGTGGCTATCTGTCCGCTTGAAGACATCCAGTTCACCGAGTGCAACCTCTGTAAGTGAGCTGAGCCCAGCACTGAAGGGATGGAACAAAGATGAGGACACGAGTCCCCTGACCACAGGGCATGATAAGCAAACGGTGGCAGATGCGCAGGGGGGAGATGAGGGGAGGAGGGGGGAGGTCAGTGGGGTGGAGGTGGCAGTCAGGAAGTCCACAGTGACCCCTTTGCTTGTCACTTGGTACTTATAATGTGCTTTGCGATCAATGCTACTGGATCTGCGGGTTAACTTACAAAATTATTTTCACCCTAAATATGATTTCTCATCAGTCCCATTAGATAGGCAGAGTGAGCATTATTCAGGCCCATTTGAAAGAGGAAAATTGAAACCCACAGACATTTAAATGAGTCACTGAGGTGAAGGACCAGATGGGTAGTTGCAGGAACTAGTGCATAAATGAAAATGCAGGCCCCTTGCCAAAAATTATTAAGAATTTTCAAGCCTGGCTTGTGTGGCTCAGTGGTTGAGCATCAACCCATGCACCAAGAGGTTACTGGTTCAATTCTTGGTCAGGGCACATGCTCAGGTTGTGGGCCAAATCCCCAGTGGGGGGCATGCAGGAGGCGGCCAATGGATGTTCTCTCTCATCAATGTTTCTATCTCTCCTCCTTTCCTCTCCCTCTAAAAATCAATAAAGAGAACAAATTTAAAGAATTTTCAAGACGGTGACAGCAGAGCCTTCAACCAAGCATGGGGCCCTTCTAAGCACAGCACCCAGCCCTGGCAAACCATCTCGGCCCCTCCAGATCTGCACTCAACGCACACGAGACCAGATGGTGTTCTCCTAGGGCTGAGCCAAAATGAAGAGCTGGCTCACTGGGGAGCTGACCCCAGGGTCATCAGAGATGGAGGGCGGGTCCCAGAGAACCCTGTCCCACTGAAACGGACAAGCCGCAGCCCACTGGCCCACCGCACGCCTGGCTGCTGCTCCAGCCAGGAGCCCGCAGGTGGAGGCAGGCCTCTCCGGGCAAAGCAGCAGGTGCGGGGGCAGAAGCACCTGTAAAGGCCTGAGGAAAGAAAGAGGAGACCTTTGTCCTGGCCTCCAAGTCTCAGAGGAGCAGCGGCTGGCTCCCGGGGCTGCAGAAATTCCTCTGCTGCTGTTCACACTGTGACAGCACCCTCACCAGCCACTGAGGGGGTTAGACAGGTGAAAGGCTCCGTTTGTTAAAAATTTTTTAAAAAGCAAGGAGTTCTTGCAAACGTCTGGGGGAAAGGCGGCAGCTTTAAGCTATGTAAAGGCTACGCCATGCTGGGGAGGGCCGCTGGGGATGGGATCCAGGTGGACCCCGCTGCTCCTCCCGGGACCACCCTGTCTTTCGCGGAGGAGGAGACGCGGGAACCCGGTTCGGAGCAGATGCTCTCGAGGCAAGAGCGCTGCCCGGCCAGGGCCCGGGCCTGGGCGCCCCTAGCCGCCGCGCCGCGCAGCCTCCCCCGGCTGCAGACCGCTGCACGGCCACTCACCGTCCAGTGCTCCCCCGAAAGTTCAAACACAAACGCGCTGCTCCCTTTGCCCCTGTCCCGGGAAGGTGAGCTCTGCCGTAGGAGGGAGCTCTTCTCCAGCTTCTCCAGCAGCCTCGCGCTGGTGTCCACGAAGCCATTCCTGCAGTACGCCGCCTGGGGCACGCCTTTCCTCCGGCACTCCGCCACGAAGTCCCACTCCTCCTTGATCCTGGAACGCCGGCACAGGCGCGTCAGCCGCCGGCCGCCCTCACCGGCCGCCCGGCCCTGGGCGCAGGCGCCGCCCTGGTTCGGGCGTTTTCCCCGCCCCTCTGCGTTCTCCCCGCCCCCTTCCTCGTTCCCCCCGCCCCTCTGCGTTCTCCCCGCCCCTTTCCTCGTTCCCCCCGCCCCTCTGCGTTCTCCCCGCCCCTCTGCATTCTCCCCGCCCCTCTGCGTTCTCCCCGCCCCTTTCCTCGTTCCCCCCGCCCCTCTGCGTTCTCCCCGCCCCTCTGCGTTCTCCCCGCCCCTCTGCATTCTCCCCGCCCCTCTGCGTTCTCCCCGCCCCTTTCCTCGTTCCCCCCGCCCCTTTCCTCGTTCCCCCCGCCCCTCTGCGTTCTCCCCGCCCCTTTCCTCGTTCCCCCCGCCCCTCTGCGTTCTCCCCGCCCCTCTGCGTTCTCCCCGCCCCTCTGCGTTCTCCCCGCCCCTCTGCGTTCTCCCCGCCCCCCTGCGTTCTCCCCGCCCCTCTGCGTTCTCCCCGCCCCTTTCCTCGTCCCCTCTACCGTGGGGAATGGAAAGGAAGCGTCCAACCTCCGAGTTGGAATTAGTAGCAACTTTGACTTTAGTTAGATAGAATTCCTGGCTAAAATGTCTCCCAAAATTACCTACGCATTTAATTACAATTTCCTGGGATAGCAGGTGGTGCCAACCCAAGTTTTTTGAAAATGCAAGAAATTTGCTGGTCTTTCGAGAACGTTTGGATAGAAACATATAGGCAGCCCCAGTCGATAAAATACCTGACTTTAGAAGGTCGCCCAGCAGCCACCGTGGCAGATGTTTTCTCCTGCAGGTGCACCTGTTACTCATAAACTCCAGGTCCAGTCAGACACTGGAGCTGGCTCAGGACCCTTCAGCACCCCCCCAATACCCCCCCCCCACGCTCCTCAGTACTTTCTTATTGCTAATTTTCTGACCTATCATTTAATAACTTTCCACATTGATGCCTTACTCTCCGCAACTTGACCATAAACTGAGTGATGACTGTGGACCACATCTTGCTGCCCTCCGGATGCCAACACAGTCATTAGAACAGTGTTTCGCATGCGTGGGCCTCTCTCCATGTAGAGATTTGATATCTGCCTGGAGCCTTTACAGGCTAATATTCTATGAGGCACAAAAAAACAAAAACAAGATTTGTTGTAGTTTTCCTTCAAAGCTATCAGGCACAGACATTGTCTCAAAATAGGTGGCCCTCTTTGATAGGAAGTTGGTGCATTCCATTCTCTGGAAAGCATCCAGACCCTACTCAGGGACTTGGTGGCAGGCAGGGTCAAGGACCTCTAGAAGGGGGCAGTTTTAGAAACAGGCTGCAGATACAGTCCCAGTCTCTACATGGACAAAGGCAGTACAGATGCTAAGTGACCAGTGAAAAGAAGTTCCAACTATCTGTGATTACAGCATTACGTAAGGAAAGGGCTTGGGCAAGTTATGTAGGACCCAACTTCCTTGTCTTTAGATTCGGTATAATAATAACCACCTGAAACAGCCATGATGCTTACTTACAGTAGCAGCTTAGTTATCAAGCATGATCAAAATTGGTGTTTGTTCCATCCAAACAGTTCGTAAAAGAGGAGCACCAAGAATAAAGAGACATTCACACCTTACCATTTGTTTTTAATTTAAAGCATAGAAATATATCATACTTTGCCAACTTGATATAGGATCATGGACTTCCCTCAAGAATGGGTGTGCCCATCGGAATCTCATTCTGCCTTTCCTAAATAAACGACGCCCATAATGCATCACCCAGGAGTTCCAGTTTGGGTTTCTCTACAGGAAATAAAAATCACAGACATGCAGCCCTGACCGGTTTGGCTCAGCAGTTAGAGTGTCGGCCTGCAGTCCAGAGAGACCCAGGTTCGGTTCTTGCTAAGGGCACGTACCTCGGTTGTGGTTTGTCCCTAGCCCTGATTGGTCGTATGGGTGGCAGCCACTCGATGTGTCCCTTTCACATCGATGTTTCTCTCTCTCTCCCTCCCACTCTATCTGAATAAAAAATGGAAAAATGTTCTCAGGTGAGGATAAAAAATAAAATCACAGACATGCAAAACCACCTGGGTGTGCAACCTTCCTAGCTTGTCATATTTTCACCAGTCTTGTATAGTGTTCATTTAATTGTGATTCAAATTTAGTTTTCATCAACATGATGACTCTCTTTTACTCATATTTCATGAGTTTACATAATAGTGGTAAGCTTACAAATCACATCTTTACAATGGAGTAGAAATGGCATGAGCACAGTGAGTCTTATCTAGCTTTCAGCTCACGGATGAGGGCTGAAGTGCCTGACAGAGCAGCCGTCACATGGCTGGCTGGGGGTGGAGAGCAGCCGACAGCCGACAGCCTCCTGAGCCACGAGGGGCTGTAGAGGCCGTCATCGGGTCATGGCTGCCTTCCCGATGCTAGCGCCGTGCCTGGGACGTGTGTGGGTCCTCACAGCTATGGGTTTTTCTTTATAGAAATCGAATGTTCATTCTCGCAAGAGCGTGAAGGTTCTGAAATTCAATGAGCAGGTGTCCCTGACAGTGAGAAACCCCAGAAGAAAGAAACACCCCTCCACAACACCACTGTAGTCTGCCCGGGTCCCTCTTCACTAAAGAAGCTACAAGCAAGTACAGAAAACATACTTTTTCAATGCGCTTTTCTCGAGTCTTTCTGCCTCCTTCTTCTGCCAAGCTTTGTGCTTCTTGACACGTGTCTCCCACAAGCCTCTGATGACAGAAATGTCGAATACAACCACTTTATGTCCCATTTTGGAAGCACAAAATTACCTATTAAAAAAAACACACACACACATATATATGTCAGTTTCATCCACACACAGAAGAAAATCATTTTACCGTGAACTTTAAAATGAAATGTGAATGAATCAGTTGTCCTAAGTGATGATGAAAGGCCTTGTTAGTTCAAGGATGGCAGTTTGCTGGTGTTCTTAAGGTCTCTGTGTAAAAGTCAAAGTGCAATACTCACCCTGGGGTCATCTCCTCGAAAACATCACACTTGTCTCAACTGAATTGTGGGTTCCCAGAGCTCCGGGGCATCCTCAAGTTTCATGTTCCCATGTTCTATTGAATTTAGTAGTATCTAAACTTCCCAGTAGGTTGCAACATACTCAAGGGTCAGTTTAATGAGTTCATTAGAAAAGACACACACACACACACACACACACACACACCAGCCACCATTAAGTAACAAAAGTAAATGTTGCACAAAGGCCCGCTGAGCATTTTTCCTCCTGGGACTGACCACACAGCCTGGGGACATGTTCTGTGAGGTTCCCCTGCAACATGAACCCTCCTAAGCTGCTGACCTCTGTTTATGTGGCACGGACAGCCCGCCAGCCAAGAGTAATCAGAGCCAGAAGAACCGCCCACTGTCCAGACTGTGCATGCTCTAGCTCAAACAGTCACGGCTCAGATTCTGTTTTGGAGTTTCTTTTATTTTCTGAGGCCAGTAAATCCTTGAGAAGTAACCAGATTTGTACACTAACGGCCCCTGCATTAAAAAAGTATTGCTCATTAACTTGGAGAAATGTAATTCAAGTTCCCATCTTAGAGGAATAGTCTCTCCTTGATGTCTTTCTATTCTATTTTTAGATAGTTGTAAATCAATATCAGTCTGAGTATTTTGGTGGGAAAGAGTGTATCCTGTCTGTCATCTGACCTTGTTCACCATTTTCCATGTTTTGCAAAGTAGAGAAAGGGGTTCTGTTCTTCGATTAAGGGGTCTTGAATATGCCAGGATTCAAGTCAGGGTCTTGCCTGTAAGGTGTTCAGTTTGCAAATGTGTGTGATGAAAACTGAAGAGTCTAAGAATAGTACGGGATGACCACATTTGCTAGGGACCTATGTCTAATGTCCAGAGATCCTGGGAGGCTAAGAGACACCAGCTTCTAAATGCCAGGTCCAGCCCAGCCTCTGGTGACTTGTATGGGACAGGACTGAGTCCAGGCCTCCCTAGACAACCAAACAGGTGACTCTGGCCCCTGGGTGGGCACTGAGATTGGGAAAGTGACCTTACAAGAGCCCATGAGTCACTCAGGACAGGTAGGAGACCCTCCCAACCCAGAAACAAAGCCGCAGTGGGGACCAGAGAAGAGGCAGATGGATGTCAGGGACAGATGCAGGTGCCAGTCACTAAGCAGCTTAGGGGAGAGAAACTGGCACCTTTACGGAGGTAACCTCTTCTTTGTAGCATAAACTCCAGTCAAAACAATGTTTCAGGCAAACACATAAATGTAATTTCCTAAGCATGAACTTTCTCCAGCACCACAGAAGTATCCCCAGGATATATTCCACCAAAGCAGAACACAGAAAAGTTCACCGACAGGACCCAGTCTGGAGACCCTCCAAACAAATACAGCTGTCGCTCCTTAGAGGACACTTCACAACAAGCGACTCCCCCAGCACCATTCGATCGCACAGCTTTCGCCCGGGCCCTCACCGGACTTGACAGCCCAGACCCAGGCTCCAAGGGGACGAGTCCAGCTCCCCGATGGAGACCTGGCTCGGCCTGGTTGTGGCAGAATCTCCGGAACCAGCCTTCCTAGATCTGGCTGCACTGTCCACAGCCCCAGAGCATCTTGCAGAGAAGAAATGCGGGGACTGTGAGAGAAGGGAGCAGAGCAATGACGTCACTCACTGCAACAGAAGGGAGCCTGGGGCACAGGTGTCCTGTTGTCAGGCTCTGGCCTCTCAAGTGCTTAGTGGCCCAGGTCCTGAGTGAGAACCTCAACCATCAGAGACTCTCAAAGGTTAGATTCATAGTAGAAAAGTAAATTCCTGCTGAGCAAACCTGCTTTCCTGCAGGGGTCAGCAAACTTCTTCAGCAAAGGACAAGACAGTATCCATTCCAGGCCTTGCTGGCCAACAGGCCAAATCAAAGATATTATGTGGGAACTTACTTCACAGAAGAGAAAATTCCTGGCCTGCCCCTCCCTGCTGCCTGGGGTGGGCCTGCCCCGGCAGTGGGCATGGTTCCAGGCTTCCGCCCACTTGCCACCTGCTGGAGACACTCTCCAGACAAGAGCTACTGGCCCGAGAGGGAAGGCCAGCAGGCCAGGACCACAGGGCCAGGGGACGGGGAACTGCAGCAATCAGTTGCACTCTCTGTCCCAGTGACACCCAGATGCCTGAGTGTCATCTCAAGTTGGCCAGCGGGCTGAAGGCTATGTGACTTGCTAAGTAACCAACCACCTAATGCCTGGCAGTTGCCAACAGCAGAGTCTCCAACACAAATGGCAGCCAGCATGGGCCTTGGGCAGCAGCCAGACACAACTGGCCAGATAGACAGGAACCGAGAGTCGAGGGGGGTGGACAGAGAGGGATCTGTGACTTGGTCTCCATGGCTCACAGTGCTGGCTTGTGCCAGCAGCATCCGTGTGCCACATAAAAACGCGTGCCAGGCCCGTGGGTTAGAGTTTACTCTCAGCTTTAGTGAACAATAAAATATAAAATACTTTGCTTTGGTAGATGGGATGGCTTTAAACTATACCCAGTAATTTGATTCCCTGATGTTCTTCCCTTCATAAAGGTAGAGCTTAATTCCTCTCCCCTTGGGCAAGGGCTGGACTTAGTGACTCACTTCTAATGAATAGAATGTGATAGAAGTGATGGTATGTGACTTCTGAGACTAGGTCCTCAAGGTATCCTCTCTCTCTCTTTCCCTTTCTGTTTCTTTCTCTCTCTCCCCCTTTCTCTCTCTGTCTCTCTCTCTGTCTCTCTCTGTCTCTCTCTCAGCCACCCGGTCGTGAGGATGCTCAAACAGCTCTATGGAGAAGCAACTAAGGCCTTTTGCCAATAGCCATGTGAACAGAAGCTGTCCTAAAAGCAGATGCTCCAGCCCTAGCCAGGTAGGCCAGTTGGTTGGAAATCATCTCGATACATCAAAGTTGTGGATTTGATCCCCAGTTAGAACACACACAAGAATCAACCAGTGAATGCATAAATAAGTGGAACAACATATTGATGTTTCTTTTTCTCTCCCTTCTTCTTTCTCTAAAATCAATCAGTCAATCAATAAAAGCCGATCCTCCAGCGCCCCTGCAGATGACTTCAGATGACCTTAGCCCTGACCAACATCTTGACTGCAACCTCATGGGAGACCTTGAGCCAGAACCACTCAGCCAAGCCACTCCAGATCTCTGACTCTCAGAAACTGTGAGATAATGCATGCTTGTTGTTTTTGGTGTGTGTTTTTGTTTGTTTTGTTTTTGTTTTTTTTATCCTCACCCGAGGACATTTTTCCATTTTTTTGTTCAGATAAAGTGGGAGGGAGGGAGAGAGAGAGAGAGAGAGAGAGAGAGAGAGAGAGAGAGAGAGAAACATCGATGTGAAAGGGACACATCAAATGGCTGCCACCCGCACGACCCAACCAGGGCCGGGGACAAACTGCAACCAAAGTACATGCCCTTAGTGGGAACTGAACCCGGCTCTCTCGGGACCCCTCTAACTGCTGAGCCAAACTGGCTAGGGCTGCATGCTTATTGTTTTAAGCTGTTAAGTGTTGGGGTGATTTGTTATGTGGCAATAAATAACAAATATGGTGGACAGTAAAATACAAGGCACTTATAAAAATCAGCCTATTTTTGCCCTGGCCAGTTTGGGTCAGCGGTTGTGCGTTGGCCTGTGGACCAGAGAGATCTGGGTTCGGTTCCCGCTAGGAGCACATACCACCAAAAAAAACACAAAAAACAGCCTTATTTTATAGTGGCATCTGGTATCTACGTATCCAGCTGTTTTCTTGGACATAACCACTTGGAATGTCGCATACATATCTCAAAGAAACATGAATCCTTCTAAATTTACCCGTTTAGAATCAATCCATCCCCAATGGCCTAATTTCCATCTGGAGAATAACTCATATTTATCTGGAGGGCACTCCTCTATGCTTTGTTTCCTCACTCTGCCCACCCCCGTGCGGACATGCGCGCTCGCTCTCTCTCTCTCCCTCACACACATCCAATTCATCACTAGTGGTGAGGGCATGCAGTTCTCACCACCAGGTAGTGTCACATCTGGCCTCAGTTGTGCAAAAATCACTGCTGGTCTCCTGCCTTCCCACTCGGTCACATCCAATGCATTTGTCACACAATAGGGACAGTCATTTTCCAAGGAGAACTAGATCATGCTTCCGCCTGGCTCACGTCCTCCAGAGACTCCCTTTGGAATCACAAAGAGACCCCAGGTCCTCACAGGGCCCAGTAGGACCCGGGCCGTGGTGTGCCCTGGCCAGCCCCTCCCCCTCACCGACTGCGCTCAGTGCTGGTCCCGCAGCTCCCTCCCGCAGACTGCTCACCTGCTCCCTCTCCTGGACGCTGTTGCTGTTCTCTGGCTCCCCCACAACCCTGAACTCGGCTCCAGTGGTCCAGTGTCCTCACCTCCGCGTGGCCTTCCCGCCTCTTCACCTGGAGCACATCCACCTGTCATTGTCTCTCTCAGACTCTGCTTAATTACTTCACAGCACATGATATGATTTATTGGATCTTTTCTTTAATTAAATTTTATCTGTCCATGGACCAAGCTGAGAAGAGCCACACTTTACGGGCAGGAGCAGCCAGCTGGGAGGCCCCAGACTTGGGCTCAGAGACTGGGCCCCTCAAATCAGGCCCCTGACACTGAGCAGCCACCCAGTAAACGCTGCAGGGCTTCAGGGCTGGGGGGCTTCAGGGGCTGCAGGGGCTGTGGGGCTGCGGGGCTGCGGGGCTGCAGGGCTGCAGGGCTGCGGGGCTGCGGGGCTGCAGGGGCTGCAGGGGCTGCAGGGGCTGTGGGGCTGCAGGCCCGGGCTCCTGCTTCTGAACCTCCACACAGGAGCCTGTGCATTGGGCGGTTTACTGCTTGTTTCTGTTCTTTGATTCCTGGGGACCCTGCACACCTGATGTTTATGGGCACTCACTAGATGCAGAAAGATGGATGCCCCTGCCTCTGAGTTCTCAATCTAGAGGGAGAACAGATCCTGAAAGGGATACATTTCAACGCAGCAGCGTGTGGATCCGACACCAGAGGCTGCAAGAGCTGCCGTGGGAGCCCGAGGAGGGGGGATGCCCTCAAGTGGGGGGGGGGGAGTGTCCATGAGCCCGGGGTGGGGAGGGGGATTGGGGATGGTCCAGAAGGGGAAATAATTTTTCATGCTTTCTCCCCAACCCAGGCATGTCAGGATCACTGTACAGAACCATCCACGCTCCCAAGCCAGAGTGCATGACTGGAAAAACGTGTTCCCTGGCACCAGAACACATCTCCACTCAGAAGTCATATGACAGGGTTCCAGGCAGGAGGCGGGCCAGTCTGGTCACCTTGTCCTCTCCTGTCTTGTCAAATGATAAACTGCCCTGGCCTGTGTGGCTCAGTTGGTTGGGCATCATCCTGTGCACCGAAAGGTTGCCAGCTCCATCCCCAGTAGGGGGCGTGCAGGAGCAGCCGATAGGTGTTTCTCACACTGATGTTTTTCTCTTTCTGTCTCTCCCTCTCCCTTCCTCCCTCTCTAAAAAATCAGTAAAAAAAATTTTGAGAGAGAGAGGAAGGGAGAGGGAGAGAGAGATAAACAACAATCCGCTGCAAGCCTGCAACCTGGGCATGTGCCCTGACGGGGAATTGAACCAGCGACCTCTTGGTGTATGGATCGATGTTCAGCCACTGAGCCACACTGGCTGGGAATATAAAAAAATCTTTAATAAAAAATGATAAACTGGACTAGGGGGCTCGAGGGTTGGGACAGCGCTAACATCTGAGAGACTCAGAGGTAGGAAGGACCTGGGCAGTTAGGGAGGAGATCCAACAAAGTCCACAGTCCAGGTGCCAAGCCCTTCTTGGGGCTCCCTCTTTGAGGTCTGGAGAGGGTCAGCAGCAAGGGGGAAGGGGGGAGGGGAAGGAAGCTGGTATCAGGGGATCACCAGAACCAGCCATGGGGAGAGAGGCCTGGCTCCTCCCTCCCCACCTGCCCCTCCGAGTCCCCAGGGTCTCTTTTCCCCTTGGGCAGACCAGCTCCAGGCCTTCCGAAGCCTTCTTCCAGGTGCATCTGCCACGTGAAGAAGACACCTGTCATCAGCCTTGCTGGACCCAAGGGAATGGCAGTAACCAGTGGGGACACCAAGGTACAGTGGGGACCGTATGGCAGACAAGGGGCTTTAGTGGCACACAAATTCCATTCTGTCTTCACATAAGGCCACTGCCTGGACCCCAGAGTGAGTTTTGTGATAGAAACAGTAGGGTAAATTGGGGCTAACTCTTCAAGTGAGGTCAGTATAGTCACAATATTTCAACCAAATTCTGAATTAAATTACATTTTATGTCACATGATCAGGGTTTCCCTGGGGACACCCATTATTTTTATTGTAATTTATTAAACTAAAAAGGGGGGGCAAGGCTGCAGATGGGATTAAGAGGACAGTCTGAGGGGGCCTGCCTGGGCTGGAGTCCTGCCTCCCACACCTACTGCTGCATGTCCCTGAGGTGGTTACCTAATCTCTCTGAACTTCGGGGCTCCCCTCTGGACACAGGGTGTAAAGCAGCACAGAGCTCACAGGATCGGTGACAGGGTCACACATGATTATTGTGTCAAGTGCTTAAGACAGTAACTGGCCCCTAGTAAACTCAAAAAGTGTCAGTTATTAGCCCCAGCCGGGTGGTTGGAGCATCATCCAGACACCAAAAGGTTTCGAGTGCAATTCCCATCCAGGGCACATACCTAAGTTTCTGGTGCCACCCCTGGTCAGGACGCATTCAGGAGACAGCCGATCAATGCCCCCCCCCCCAAAAATCAATTAAAAAATCCTCAACTGAGAATTTTTTTAATGTCAGTTATTTTGAAAAAAGAAAACAAGACAGACACTGTCACCAATTAAACATAAGATAAAAACGAGCGGTTCACGCGCACCTGAGGATTTTCTCCCTGCCCGGTTAGCAGACTGGTTGGGAGAACACCCAGCCTGAGTTACGGGAGAGGATTCGGTCCAGCAGGAGAGCCGCCAGCACAACGGAGCTGCTTACAAAGGCGGACAGCTCTCCTCTGGGTGTCCGATCACTTTTTTACCCTCATCCCCAGCCAGGGCAGGAGACAGACAGTCTCTGGGAGGAAAGACTCCCAGGGCAGTTGTCAGTCATCCCTTTCAAGGCACTGAAGAAGACACAAGTTGGTTTATCTCCCCTGGACAGCACTTGGGACCACAGAGGTTTGAACTCAGCCTTGGGGCCCGGGGCAGTGCGTTGGGAGTACCCACTAACCAAGGAGCAGGAGACATGGGGACCGAACCACAGCAGCAGCCAGGTCTCCTCCGTGCACCCCGCCCCCCCCCCCCCCCCCCCCCGCCCCATTCAATTCCAGTCCTGGCCCAAAATGCAGGTCACTGCGTAATCCCCTGCTCTGTGTGCCCCGTTGGGGATGTTCACCAGTCCTGCCACGGCACAGTAGGAAAGACCTACACGAGGAGCGCACTGCCCGCATCCTCCCAGCAGGTGCCACACAACGCCAGCCTCCCGCTTCCCTCAATCCCCCCGGTTTCAGGAGCAGCCACTCGCTGGCGCCCCGCGCCCCCTCCACGGGCCACCTACCGGTGACTGCGCCGCAGCCCGACCCCTGCCCGCCGCGCCACACGCTGGAGCCAAAAGCGCTCCGACTGCCCCAGCTGTGCGCTAAAGGGCTATATTTGTGAGCTGCAAACATGATCTGCAGGACATGTGCTGATAGGACTATCTATTCTCTGTGACTCAGCCCAGCATGAGACAAAACAGACCTGGGACGAGGGCTTGGCACAGCGCAAATGACAAGCCGGCCAGTACCAGCCTCTAACCCGGGATTATCTGCACCTCCCGGGCAGGTGGCCCGGCCTTCCCACATTGGAAATCCTGAAACGTGTTGCATAAAACAGGCATAAAAGGGACGGGGTCCGCGTCTGAGCACTCTCAGCTGGGAACCGCCCGAAGAGCGGTAGAACCAGGTGACCCAGAAAACGTGAAATGTTTTTTCAATGTTTGGAGCCACAGATGTGCAAGGTCTTGATTTTATTCTCACGTGTGTGTGTTTTGTTTGGTTTTGTTTTGTTCTTTTTAATGTCTTAAACCGTATGTGATTTTAGGTTCTCTTTAGAGATTTTACTAACTGGGAAAATATGATTTGTTCATATCCAACACTGTGACAATTTGACAATTAGTTAATCATCAGGTATTGAGCACCCTGCCTCAGTTCACACAGCCCCTCACCCTCATGGCAACACCCCTCACACACCTTCACCCTGAACAGAAAAACACCTTTGTCTAATATATGCACAATAACTTTAATTACAAAATGCCTTGATTTTGAAAGGGCTATTTTCTATGTCTATGCATTGACATTTATAACTATTGATTTTTATAATTGTTGACATTTATAATTAAATTATCATTTTACATTGTATTATACTAAGTTGGTGGGGTGCAAAAAAAAAATCTGTGATTGTATTAAATCAGATCTCTATAGTGTTGATGTGCCTCTTACTACGTAGAATATAATTTTTATATTGTTTTTCTCTTTTTATAAATAATGTAAGTTTCCTATTTCGTAATTAATGTGTGGTTTGGTTGTTGTTTTGTTTTGTTTTTGTGGTATTATGAACCAAAGAATTTAAATGAAAAAAGTAGTTTCAGTTCAAATACTACTTAAATACTATTTCAATTTATGAGAGCTAAATATTTAAAAGCTTACTCAGCCCTGGCCGGTTTGGCTCAGTGATTAGAGCGTCGGCCTGCGGTCCAGAGAGACCCATGTTCAGTTCCTGCTACGGGCACATACCTCGGTTGCAGTTTGTCCCCAGTCCTGGTTGGGTCATGTGGGTGGCAACCACTCAATGTGTCCCTTTCACATCAATGTTTCTCTCTCTCTCCCTTCCACTCTAACTGAACAAAATATCAAAAAAATATCCTCGGGTGAGGATAAAAAAAAAAAAAAGCTTACTCATATTTAAGTGGAAAAATAATTTTCCCCACAAATGTATTCAAAATTCAAAATGCAATGGGATGCCTTGATGATGTTAGTAAGGGAGAAGCAGGGCCGTTGTAAACCCCGGGCTCCTTTTACTGTAATGTGCACCCAAATAGGACTGAGAAATTTAGCAAATAAAAATGCTTTCAGGCCCTGGGCAGTCTGGCTCAGCAGTTAGAGCATCGGCCTGCAGACCAAAGGGTCAGGTCAAGGTCGTGCTGAAGGCAACCAATTGATGTGACTCTCTCACATCGCTGTTTCTCTCCCCTACCTCTTCCTTTTCATTGTATCTAAAAATTAATGGAAAAATATCCACAGTTGAGGATTTTTTTTTTAAAAAATGCTTTCAAGTATATTTGAATTTCAGATAAACAACAAATAATTTTATATAACTATGTCTCAAGTAGTGCATAAGTCATATTTATACCAAAAAAAAAAAAAATGTATTGTTTATCCCTGGCTGGTTTGGCTCAGTTGGAGTGTTGGTCTTTGGACCAGGAAGTCCCAGGTTTGGTTCCTGCTAGGGGCACATACCAAAAACAAAAATTTGTTGTTTTTTTGAAATTTAAATGTAACTAGATGTCCTATTTGTTATTTAGAAACCCTCCACCCAAACCACCAGAGAGCAATTGTTCAACGTGTGTGGGGTTTCACTGGGGGTGGTTTAAATATTCTGGGATTAGACAGAGGCAGCAGTTGCACAATGTGAATGGACTAAGTGCCACTGAAATGTTCACTTTACAGCGTTTGGTTTTATGCTATGTAAATTTCATGTCACTTAATAAACAGTCAGATAATAAATAGGATATAGAATATAGAATATTATATATAATCAATATAATTATTTACTGGTAATAGCATTCTTTATGTTGATAATCCAAAGGAATCTACAGATAAACTATGGGTCTTGATAAATTTTATAGGCTGAATTTGATCACCCCAAAAATATATATGTTGAAGTCTTAACCTCCAGAACCTCAGAAATAACTGTTGGAGATAGGGCCTTTAAAGAGGTAATTAAGATAAAATGAGGTTATATGGATAGACTCTAATTCAGTATGACTGGCATTCTTTTTTTTTTTATCCTCAACCAAGGACACTTTTGCATTTATCTTCAGATAGAGCAGGAGGGGGTGGGAGAGAGAGAGAGGGGAACATCAATGTGAGAGAGACACACCTAGTGGTTGCCACCCACATGACCCCAAACAACCGGGGTGGGGACAAACTGCAACCAAGGTATGTGCCCCCAGCAGGAACCGAACCCAGGACTCAGCAGCCCACAGGCCGATGCTCTAATAGCTGAGTCAAACCGGCCAGGGCTGGCATTCTTATAAGAAGAAAAGATTAGGACAGAGACAGGCACACACAGAGGAAAGACCATGTAAGGACACAGGGAGCAGGTGGTCCTCTGCAAGCCAAGGAGAGAGGCCTCAGAAAAAACCAAACCTGCAGACAACTTCATCTTGGACTTCTAGCCTCCAGAACTGTGAGAAAAGAAATTTCTGTTGTTTAAGCCACTCAGTCTGTGGTATTTGTTATGGCAGCCCTAGCAAACTAACCGAATACGTAAATTTCACAAGGTCAGTTAGATACAAGGTCGACATAAATATCTGCAACCACAAAAATAGAAGTAAAAGATACCATTTCCATTAATTTTTTTTAAATTTTTTTTCTTTATTGATTTCAGAGAGAGGAAGTGAGAGGGAGATAGAGATAGAAACATCGATGAGAGAGAACATTGACTGGTCGCCTCCTGCATGCCCCCCACTGGGGATTCAGCCCACAACCTGGGCATGTGCCCTGACCAGGAATCGAACCGGCGACCTATAGGTGCATGGGTCGGTGCTCAACCACTGAGCCACACTGGCTGAACCCATTTCCATTAATATTAAAACAAAACAAATATTTAGGAATCATCTAACTAAACTGTGCAAACCTCTATATAGAAAACTGTAATAATTGTTGAAAGAAATTAAACAACACCTGAACAAATCTTCATGGACTGGATTCAATAAGATATAAATATTAATTCCAATCCCCCTCCAACAAGTCAGTGCACTGGTCAAAACCCCAACAGATTCTGTGAGAATTTAGAAACATATTTAAAAATTATATGGAGCCCTGGCCTGCAGTTGGCTCAGCGGTTAGAGCGTTGGCCTGCGGTCCAGAGAGACCCGGGTTCGGTTTCCGCCAAGGGCACATGCCTCAGTTGCAGTTTGTCCCCGGCCCTGGTTGGGGTCATGTGGGAGACAGCCACTTGATGTGTCCCTTTCACGTTGATGTTTCTCTCTCTCTCTCTCTTCCTCTCTCTCTCCCACTCTATCTGAACAAAAAATGGAAAAATGTCCTCAGGTGAAGATGAAAAAAAGAAAAATTATATGGAAATGTAAAAAATAATTTTGACTATGAAGTACAGGAGTACTTGCTATGCCAAATATCAAGGACTATTATCAAGTTACAGTAATGAAGACAGAATGGAGTTGGCACGGGTAAACCAACCAAACAGAATAAGGCATAGAAAACAAGCTCACAAATGCACAATCAACTGATTCCTGATGAAATGGTATTGCAGAGCAGTAATGTAAGAATGATTTTTTTTCACTAAATGGTGCTGAATATCATACTATGTAAGGTGACAGATGGCTACTAGACCTATTGTGATAACTTGGTTAGATATATAAATGTTGAATCACTATGTTGTACACCTGACGTTAATATAATATTGTATATCAACTATAATTAAAAATAAATTAAAATAGCCCTGGCCGATTTGGCTCAGCAATTAGAGCGTCGGCCCAGAGAGTCATGGGTTTGATTCCAGTCAAAGGTACATACCACAGTTGTGGTTTGGTTGCCAGCCCTGGTCAGGGTCATGTGGGAGGCAACCAATCAATGTGGCTCTCTCACATGGATGTTTCTCTCTCTCTCTCTCTCTCTCTCTCTCTCTCTCTCTCTCTCTCCCCCTCCCTCCTTCCCTCCCATTCTATCTGAAGATAAGTGGAAAAATATCCTCAGGCAAGGATTTTTAAAATTAATTAATTAATTAATTAATTTAATAAGTGGTGCTGAACCTTGTATAGATTCAATGCCTTGGAATATGATACAGCAATGAATATGAGCAAACTTCTTTAAACATTATGGATGACTCTTACCAACATGAAGTTGAGCAGAAAGAAGTAGACTTATATAAAGTTTCAGAACCACAGAAAAATCAATCTGTGGAATTAGAAATCAGAAAAGTGGTAGCTTTGGGGAAGACAGAGAGGGTGGTGATTGTGAAGAAGCCCAGGGTGGATTTCTGGAGTTCCAGTAATAATCTTTTTTTTTTTTTTTTTTTTAATCCTCACCCGAGGACATTTTCCATTTTTTGTTCAGATAGAGTGGAAGGGAGAGAGAGAGAGAAACACCAATGTGAAAGGGACACATCGAGTGGCTGCCACCCGCACGACCCACCAGGGCCGGGGACAAATTGCAACCAAGGTATGCTCCCTTAACGGGAACCGAACTCGGGTCTCTCTGGACCGCAGGCCGATGCTCTAACCGCTGAGCCAAACTGGTCAGGGCTAATAATCTTCTTGACCTGAGTAGTTCCATGGTACTCACTTTGGAATAATTTATTAATTGTAAGCCTTATTATCTGTACACTTTTATGAAT